CCCCCCCCCCCCCCCCCCCCCCCCCGGCCGCTTTTTTAAGGGGGGGTGGTTATCTTTTTTTGGTTTCCATTCCTTACATCGTTTCACTAGACTGGTTTCTCGTAAATCAAATGTTCATTTTCATAATCAGTGTCTTCATCTTTATTCAAACCAAAATCAAACATTTTTCAATATTATATCAGAACAACCCCCCTCCCCCCTTCCACCTAAAATAAATTAATGAAGAAAAAAAAAGACAGAAAAAAAGACAGAAAGAAAGGAAGTAAAGCAAATGGGGAAAATGGAAAAGACTTACCGCCACGCCACCGAGACCCGATCCCGCCCCGACGTCGATGATTTTGATATCTTGGTTGTCCCCAGCCAGACGAGTCACAATACGTGCTAACTGTGTGGGCGCACTGTACTCTAGGGTGTCCAAGTACTGTGCCAGAGGACAATGTAATACGAAGATCGTCATTATCATCATCATCATTATCATCATCATTTTTTGGTAAGCAGGGTAGGAGGGAGAGTCTTGTTTTAATTTTAGACAAAAATAAAATAACAATATAAAATGTTTAAATTTATTTAATAGCTCAACGTTTCGCCCCGTGGGCTTCCTCGGGAGCAACTGAGAGAAAAACTAAACGAGCGCTGTATATTAGCAGGGAAATGGGCCTAACAAAGGGGGCCTTAGGGTTACGTGTGGTTACAGGCTAGACGGAAGTGACTAAGTGGGTGAAAGCCCAAGGGGCTAATTGTAAAGAAATTGATGCTAGTCATCAAGGATATCAAAATTGTATCTCTACGAGAGGCTGACAGGAAGTTAATTGTGTGAACGTGTGACGAAAGAGGAAAATGTGTAGAGGCATCCCAGTTGGAGGCAAAAGGAGGAGACAGAAGATCATCATCATCATCATCATCATCATCATCATCATCATCATCATCATCATCATCATCATCATCATCCTCTTCATCGTCATTTGAGGAAGAAAGATCAAAAGAAAAAGATGGTGACGACTAAAGTATAATAAGTGGCTTTATAATATACTAGCTGGGTCCCCTTTCGATGAAAGGGATGATCGGTGCTTTAATATCAGCTGAAAGTCATTGGCCTACTATGTTTACACTCTACCGGAATGGGGAAATAAATATTGAGAGATGCAAAATTTAGGTCTAGATCTATACTCTCAAAACAAAATGCGCCTCGCGAAATATCACTTCCGGATTTTCTAAAATTACAGAGAAAGAAGCGTCGGCCATCAAAAGCGATCGGCGAAATAAAGAAATTTAGCTTTTTGCAGCCAAACTGTCTCAAAACTGAAAAAAAAAACCAAGGGCGCCATGATCTGGAGAATATTTTAAAGAATTTTTTGGCGAAAACTGCTTGTCGATCGATGCAGCCATTAAAAAGCCTTTTGAATAGCAAAATTCGGCCACCACAAATAGATAATAGATAAAGGTTCAACGTTTCGCACTGTCGGCTTTGTCCACCTCCGTCATCATCATCATCATCATCATCATCATCATCATCATCATCATCATCATCATCAAGCAAAGCCATCATCAGCATTATTTTCGTTGGAAACGCAGCGTATTTGGGGGGGGGGGGTCTTGATTAATTTTCAGTCACTAATTATATATTATGATATATATAATATATACTATATATAATATACACACACACACACACACACACACACACACACACACACACACACACACACACACACACACACACACACACACACACACACACTATATCATATTAGTCCAAAGAGGCCTCTTTGCTGCTTTATTGACTATTTAAAAGCTTTTTTTACAGAATCCATCACATCAAGCTGATTGAGTGTTTGAAGAATATAGATATTGTTGGCAAAGATATAAGAATCATAGGAAAGCTTTACTGGCAGCAGAAGGCAGCTAATAAAGTGTGTAATGAAATATCAGAATATATTAAAATCCAAAGAGGAGTGAGACAAGAGATTATTTTTAGAGAATCTCAAAACCTGCAGGGGGTCACTGTTGGGGGCCGCAACATCAATAACCCGAGGTACGCAGATGATACAGTTCTGCTTGCGAACAAAAACGAATATCTTTCTAATATTGTGAAAGTAGTAAAAGTGAACAGCAGCAAGGCAGGCCTCGACATGAAAGTTAATAAAAATAAAAAGAGTGGTCTTATCAAAATGTTCTAGAAAAATAAACAGCTACAGACATAACCATAGATGGGGAGAAAGTCGAACAAGTGCACCAATTCAAGTATCTAGGAGCAACAATCACAGATGATGGAAGAAGTGGACAAGAAATGAACATAAGAACAGCATCTGCAAAAACAAGATTCAGCTAAATGTACAAACTATTTAAATCCGGGCAACTATCTCTCACTTGAAGAAAAAAAAATGCTGGAATGCTACATCTTCCCCATATTCCTGTATGGCGCAGAGACCCGGACTTTGACAAGGAAAGAAGAAAACAAAATAAAGGCGTTTGAGATGTAGTGCTACCGTAGAATGGCCAGAATAATTTGGAAAACAAAAGTGACAAACAAAGAGGATGTGTCAGATTCTATACACAAGACAAACCCTGCTGAACAAAATAAAATGTAGAAAAATACAGTACTATGGCCTCTTAAAACGACACGAGACCATTGTGAAAGAGGTGCTTGAAAGAAAAATGTGGGGCAGGAGAGCTAGAGAAAGACACAGAAAAACATAGATGGACAGCATAAGAACATGGGCTGGCCTGGATATGGCAGAATGTGCCACGGCAGCTCGCGACTGTGAAAGATGGAGGGTCATAACACGTCAACCTCTGAGACAGAGATGATGCCTCCAGGTATCCCGGTATATATAGCGGCATACACACACACACACACACACACGCACACACACACACACACACACTCATACACACACACACACACACACACACACACGCATATTCAAACATGTTCTTTTTTTCTCTCTGTATGTGTTAATGCGTCTCTCTCTCTCTCTCTCTCTCTCTCTCTCTCTCTCTCTCTCTCTCTCTCTCTCTCTCTCTCTCTCTCTCTCTCTCTCTCTCTCTCTTTCTTAACCCCCTCCCCATCTCATGGCCCGTGTCTGACTCTATCACTTCTAGAAGAGAGATCAAGACACTGACATACAAACACACACGCGCACACGTTACACACACACACACACACACACACACACACACACACACACACACACACATACACGCTCAAACGTACGCTAATACAACATGTCCAAACAGCATCAAAACCCTTTGGTCACGCACGAGACTCCACATACCCTTTCATAATTCCCCGCAATGTCGTCATACAGTTTGACTGTGGATTCAGAGCCCATTCCTTTTTTGACATGTGCCTGTATCGCAGCAAGCGCGACTTCTTTGCTTGGTTTTGGCTCGGAAAGTTTCGGGTGTGACATTGAGAGACATCTTGAGGCGTCAGTAATTGTTGCTGTCTTTTGGAGTTTTCTCTGACGTAGAAGAGGGAGGGCACAGCGTTGAACAATCTTAGAGAACATCTTTGTTCAGGAACACCACTTCAAAACAAACAAAAATGATAAAATTTAGGTTTTAAGTGGGTGGCTCGTGGGTGCTCTGGTGTGGTTTGCGGCTACTTTCCTATCACACATCTATCGTCCACAATATCTCCCCTTATATTTTGTTCTTTTATTTTTTTAAATTATGTTACTCTCCTCTAGTTACAAGTTACACCTCTAATCGTCGGTACTTGTATGACCTATTTGTATTGCAAATGCCGTAAACTCTTACAAGTACTAAAGGCAAATATAAAAATAAGGATGCCATTCTTTTAAAACTAAACTAAACTACTACTTATATACAGGACTTGACTCTCGGGGGGCAGCCATTGCGTCAAGCTAGAATGAAGAATTTGATTTCTTTTAAGAAGCGAGACACTAACGAGACCTTTACAAAGAAACGAAAGAAAGAAAGGAAGAAAGAAAGAACGAAGAAAAGAAATAACGAAAGAAAAAACAAACGAAAGAAAGAAAAAAAGAGAGAGAAAGAAAGAAAGAGAGAGAGAGAAAGAAAGAAAGAAAGAAAGAAAGAAAGAAAGAAAGAAAGAAAGAAAGAAAAAAGGTGAGACATCTACAGTGAAAACCTGATGTAACAGTGATGGTGGGACCAGAGAAAAAGTCATGTTATATCAGATCCCTGTTAAATCAGAAATGCAAGAAAAGTAAGCATGTGGACTAATCCAGCTGTATTTATTCATGGGTAGTTTTTCATGGCCTGCGTTTGACACAATACGCGAGCATGTAGCTAGGTTTAGGGCAAGATCAAAGTCTGCAGCACACAGCAACCCTCTCTCGCTTCACCTGCTGCGTGTGCTTGCAGTGGCGTGGTTTGGGTGGGTTTACTCCATCACTGCGTTTCTCTCTCTTTCTTATTTTTTACAGTTTGTAACGAGCCTTTGTCCCTGCTATAACCGATTGGGCTCCAATGAGGCCCTGTTATTGCCGATAACTTTCAATAGAGACAAAGAGTATCAGAAAATGGGGATTTAGGAAATCCCTGTTAATACCGGATCCCTGTTATTACCGAGCCTGTTATATATGGTTTCCTTTGTATTTAGAGTTTTTTTCACATACTATTTGTTTTCCAGGCTGTTTCTTTGAGGGGGTGGGGGTTTAGATATCTAAACAAGTAGTGCGTGCCATTAGCTCAGTTATTGGTATCATGCTGGACTACTGAGCGAATGATCCTGTTTCGAATTTGCAACGCAGCGCTCCAAACGTTTGCTTTTTTTTGGGGGGGGAGGTCATTTGTAGGGCTCGCCACCCATTTAGCTTAGCCCTATCGAATAGGAACGTTAAATTACGAGGTTCTGTCTCTAAAATAGCTTTGTAGTGATAAAAAGGGTATTAAAACTAAACAATTTTGATCTTTTCTCTCTCTTTAACTGATACATGCTGCATTATTCTTTCCGTCCAACACTAACGTCAGTTTTGTACTCATTTGGCCCTTTTCCTTCTTGAGTGAATCGAGAGACAGGAGAGAGGGGGCCGTCGGGGGGGTGGTGGTAGAGAGAGGGGGAGACAGAGGGAGAGAGAGAGAGAGAGGGGGGGAGGGAGAGGGAGAGAGAGAGATTATTAGAATGTGAGGAATGACTAGAGAAGAGACATCGAGAGACAGAGAGAGTGAGTGAGAGAGAGAGGAGAGAGAGGGAGAGAGAGAGGGAGAGGAGTGGGGGGAGGGGGAGGGCAAGACAGAGGTTAGAAAGAGATAGAAATAAAAAAGTGGAATGTAGAGAGATGGAGAGAGAGTGAGAGAGAGAGAGACAGAGAGAGATTAGAAAAAGATAGAAACAAGAAAGAGGAAGGGACAGAGAAAGGGAGAGATATGAAGAGAGATAGCGAGAGAGAGGGACAGAGAGAGAGAGAGAGAAAGAGAGACAGGGGGAGGAAAGTGTAGGGAGTTTGAAAAGGATAAGAATCTTTAAAACAATACCGCTCGTCAAAGAATAATTGAAGTAGCTAGGAATTGATAAGAACAAAAAGCAACACAGAGCAGGAGTAAATGATGTATACATCTAGTGCAGGGAAATAGTCGTAAACAGAGATAGAGAGATGGAGAGAGACAGAGAGACAGACAGACAGACAGACAAACAGAGAGAAAGAGAGACAGACTGACAGAAAAACACAGAGAAAGACAGACAGACAGACAAGAAGGGGGGGGGGAGAAGAGATTGTGGGGGAGGGAGGTGAAAACAGTTTTAGAAGCATTGCATTTTGTTAGTTTATGATAGAGGAAAGCATAATCATCAAAAATCAGACAAACAGACAGACAGACACACACACAGACAGACACACAGACAGACACACAAGCAGACAGATAGATAGACATTCACACAGATAAACACACAGACAGACGCACAAACAGACACAGACAGACAGACCTTTGTCAACTTCTGACCACCCACAAAAGTGCACATACCTTACTGCGTCCTTTCCAGAGTCCAAAAGTCGAAATATTTAAACTGGACGTCTAAAGGCCGCTGCTGACTGGATCCAAATGCTGTCTCACTCAGTGGCGGTTCCCCGATGCTTGCCACCTACTTTTATAAATGACCTGGTCATCATGCGCAATGCGCACTGTCTCTGCGCAAATCATAATTATTATCATGACATACCAAGTGACAGTGTTGTGCTCTTCTTTCACCCTCATAGACTGAAACACAAAGGACAAAAATAATTTAATCTTGCTAGCATTAAAGACTGAAAGGCCTCCGTTCTCCTTTACCACCTGCCCACTTTCCTCTTCCTCCCTCACCCCC